TAAATGCAGTGTGTATATGAGTGCAGTGTGTGTGTATGAGTGCAGTGTGTGTGTATGAATGCAGTGTGTGTTTGTGTTCCAGAGCCTTGGTGGGGGGTGGGCATTTTTATAAAAAAAAAAAAATAATAATAATATTATTATTTATTATTTTCATTTTTTTTGGTTATTATTTTTTAATTATTTTTTTATTATTATTTATATTTATATATTATTAATTAATATTATTTTAATTTTGTTATATTATTTTTTTATTATTATTTTTATTTATATATTATTAATTTATTTATTTTTCGTCCCCCCTCCCTGCTTGATACATGGCAGAGAGGGGGGCTCTCCTTCCCTGGTGGTCCAGTGGCATTGGCAGTTCAGTGGGGGGAGGAGGGGGACTGGCAGAGCTGTTACTTACCTCTCCTGCAGCTCCTGTCAGCTCCCTCCTCCTCCGCGCCGGTCCGTGCAGCTCTTCTCTCAGCTCACACTGTAAGTCTCGCGAGAGCCGCACTATGACCCCGCGGCTCTCGCGAGACTTACACTGGGAGCTGACCGAGGTGCTGACCGGCCCGGCGCGGAGGAGGAGAGAGCTGACAGGAGCTGCAGGAGAGAAGTAACAGCTCACTGCCAGCCTCCAGTCTGTATTATGGCAATGTAAATTGCCATAATACAGACAGTGACTCGAGTATAAGCCGAGTTGGGGTTTTTCAGCACAAAAAATGTGCTGAAAAACTCGGCTTATACTCGAGTATATACGGTAGTTTTAATTCTGCCAGTGCCACGGAAGCACCTCTTGTGGCTGTCAGGAAGACAACCACTAGTGGTGGATTTAACCCTGCAATTTAAACATTGTGATTCTTCTAAAAGAATTTTACATCACAGGGTTAAAATGACAGGACCACTTCATCCACACCACTTTATTGAGAAGAAGAAGCCTGATTGACATTAGTGGCCCTTTAAAGAAAAATAAAAATAATTTAAAGAGTAAAGGCATCCATAGTCAGATCATAGCCATCTAAAAAATCTTTGGGTTTGCCACAATTGATGAAGTCTAAAGCAGGCTAAAACAATTATCTGGGATTGCTGTACCTCAAATGCAGAGGGGGCTTGCTTAGCCTTTCTGATATGAAAATGGCGTACATGCCCTCTGTTGTGGCAAAAGTTAAATAAAACACTGAAACGTTAAAGGAATCTTTTCCTCACCAGTGTTCTCATTTGGCATAACTGTAATTTTCAACTCTAAGTCAGTGGCATAAAAGTAAAGGTCAAATGCATCAGATAAACAAAATGTAACACCAATCTACCTGCCTATAAGAACCTGGTGTTAAAATATGCACGGTTCCCTAGCAAAATAGCTAACTACAATAAATGTAGAGAAGAAGAAATAAAAAATAAAATACCAACAACTTGTAAACTCCCTAACCCCTAGCAAAAAAAAAAAAAAAAATCTAACTACAATATAGAGAAGAAAAAAGAAAAAGAAAACAAACTTGTAAACATGGTTAAAGTGTTGAACGAACATCATTTCAAAATTGCATCGATAACAATGTTTAATGGAGGTGAGAGCATACACTCTGTTTTCTTAATGGCTACGTATTACATCTCTGACATTCTTACTATTAATAGCTTTCATTTGTGGTGACATACTAAAGAAACAGATCATCTATCCTTGTTTTTCCATACTGAGCAATTTGGTAATGTTCGGTTAATGTGCAATTTGTCTCAGTATGAAGTATAGGCCAGTAGATCGGATGATCGCTACACTTGGAATAATACAAGTGAATTACACAGAGAGAGTGACAGATTACCATAATAACCCTCTAAGGTAGCTGTTAGAATATCTGGATAACTGCAGAAATAGTCCCTTCATTCTAAGCACACAGAATCGGCATTTTTTATTACACATGCAAACAATGAATGCAAAGATTGGAAAAACACATTTAAGCCTGCTTGTTGCCATTTTCCTCTTCATATTTTTTAACCAGCACATAAAATCACTGTGCATACATGGTTGTAAATATTCACCGATATTTAAATAGCAGTAAGCAAATAGATAGGAACATTTTATTTTTCATATCACTACAATTAGTAGTTTACACAACAAAAGCAGTAGTGTTTTCAAGTTACGGATTAAATGGGCAGTATTGTAATGACAGTGCATAATAAAGCCTACATTAAAGAAACACTCCGGGCACCAGAACAACTTCATCTCCATTTGTTTAGTAAAAATACAAGTAATACACTGGCGCTATCATTAAATTAAACACTCTTTAGTCTAACAAAAAATGTTATATTTAGACCAAGCTGCTGTAACACCTAGATGTAATCTTTCTTATTTACATCAATATAGGAAAAAGGTAAAAACAATGTGAAATCGGTGTAGCGCTATATACATACATATAATAGGGTTGAGCCTAATAGAATAGTCAAGCTTCCAAATGAGGGTAATTCCAATATCTTATAAAGTCCACCTAAAATAAGCAAAGAGAACTCTAATAGTGTAACACTGTAAATTAAAATGATAGTGAGAGTCAAATATAATAAACTCACATTCTTCTGAGCTTAATGCCAAGCTCAGGAATAAGTGCGTATAGGTCCGTACAGGCGACCTTCCCCTTCTTCTTATCAGGTGTTTATCTCAGATCATCTCTAGGACTCAAATAAAACAGATATATAGTGTAGAATGTCTGTATACAATATTACTACTTAAAGTATATAGTATACTCACAAAAATGGAGCCTCTATATCGGCTCTGTCTCTGCACGTTGAATAAAATGTAGAACTTTTCAAAGCAGGAACCAGAAAAAGCCCATATAATAATTTAAAAGGTATATAAATAATTTATTACATTACAAGGGTGTAGAAAAACCCTCTATAGTAAATTAAAAAGCCAAAATACAAAGCGCAGAAAAATATAAAATAAACAAATAAATAACAAATGGGCATAACAATATCGTACACTTCTTTCCAGAACGCGTTTCACCGTAACTCCGACGGCTTCCTCAGCTGGATTCAATAGGTCTTCCTAAAGTGCAATGGTCCTGCTTATATAGTTTCCTTCTTCTGTTCTGTCATTTGAAAAAGGCGCGCTTGTTCAGTACACGCCCGATCAGTATATGCGTTCCACGCCTCTGTTTACATCCGGATCACTTCCTCATATGACGTCATCCCTCTCAATCATGTGATCGGGTATCGTACGCGGATACCATTTTACATATCATGGTCAATGATAGGAAAGGAAATAATAGAGGGGAATAATAAGCTTGTATAGTTACACAGAAACAATAATCAAATAAATAAATGTATCTTTTATCCAATGAAAATATATCCTATATCTAATAAAAGTATGTGAACAGAAAGTCTGTCACGAATACTCTTATTACTACTCAAATAAGGGAGCTATTACAACGTTAATTGCATTCTCTCTATATGTACTCACATAATATCTCTAAAGTTAAACAGTAGCAAAAAACTTGTTACATAAATTAACACAGTTAAATTAATATTGTATCGTAATAATTTCTCGTTATAGATCACTGTCACTTTTCACTGAGTTAAACCCAGGAATTCTACAGTTGTAGGAGACTTATTAAATATACTAACATAAATGAGTTAGCACTGTGTCATTATTTTCTCATTATAGCTCACTGTCACTTATTACTAAGTTAAACTCACGGCATAAAATAACACAAACGGGTCATACAATATTTCATAATTATGTATAGTAAATCGTAGTCACATATAACAAAGCACTCATTTATGTTAGTATATTTAATAAGTCTCCTACAACTGTAGAATTCCTGGGTTTAACTCAGTGAAAAGTGACAGTGATCTATAACGAGAAATTATTACGATACAATCATAGGCGTGCGCACGGGGTGTGCCGGGTGTGCCTGGGCACACCCTAATCCCCGTGCGCACCCCTATGGTTTGAGTCCTGCAGGAACAGCGTTCCTGCACTCTTTTGAGCAGGAACGCTGTTCCTGCAGGCACTCAGTGCCCCCTGTTTCACCTCTTGCCCCTGTCATGGGAGGGCAAGAGGTGATGATTCCCCCTCCACCCTGCAGCTCAGCCGCGGCGAGGGAGCTCTCTGCTCTCTGCTCCCTCTCGCCGCGCGCTGATGCCGGGAGCCGGAATATGACGTCATATTCCGGCTCCCAGCTCGAGCAGACAGCCCGCGCGGCGAGAGGAAGCAGAGAACAGAGAGCAGAGAGCTCCCTCGCCGCGCGCTGAGCTGCAGAGAGGCGCCCGCCCCCACTGGACCCCAGGGACAAGTCCACCAGCACTCCAGGTAGGAGGCTGGGTGGACATTTAAAAAAAAAAAATTAAAATATAATTATTTGTGTGTGTCTGTGAGTGTGTGAGTATGTGTCAGTGTGTCAGTGTGTGTGTGTGTCAGTGAGTGTGTGTGTGTGTGTCAGTGTGTGTGAGTGTGTGTCTGTGAGTGTGTGTCTGAGTGTGAGTATGTGTGTGTCTGTGAGTGTGAGTGTATGTGTGTGTCAGTGTGTGTCTGTGAGTGTGTGTCTGTGAGTGTGTGAGTATGTGTCTGAGAGTGTGTGAGTATGTGTGTGTCAGTGTGTGTGAGTGTGTGTCTGTGAGTGTGTGAGTATGTGTCTGTGAGTGTGTGTCAGTGTGTGTCTGTAAGTGTGTGAGTATGTGTCTGTGAGTGTGTGTGTCAGTGAGTGTGTGAGTATGTGTCAGTGTGTGAGTGTGTGTGTGTCAGTGTGTGTCAGTGTGTGTCTGTGAGTGTGTGAGTATGTGTCTGTGAGTGTGTGAGTATGTGTCTGTGAGTGTGTGAGTATGTGTCAGTGTGTGTGTCAGTGTGTGTCTGTGAGTGTGAGTATGTGTGTGTGAGTCTGTGAGTGTGTGTCAGTGTGTGTCTGTGAGTGTGTGAGTATGTGTCTGTGAGTGTGTGTGTCAGTGAGTGTGTGTGTGTGAGTATGTGTGTGTCAGTGTGTGTGAGTGTGTGTGTCTGTGAGTGTGTGTGTGTTTCTGTGAGTGTGAGTGTGTGTCTGTGAGTGTGTGTGTCTGTGAATATATATATATATGTATATATATATATATATATATATATATATATACACACACACACACACACACACACACACGCGCGCGCGCGGCGTGTGTTTGTGCTTTAGGGTGCACACCCTAATGCAATAGGCTGCGCACGCCTATGGATACAATATTAATTTAACTGTGTTAATTTATGTAACAAGTTTTTTGCTACTGTTTAACTTTAGAGATATTATGTGAGTACATATAGAGAGAATGCAATTAACGTTGTAATAGCTCCCTTATTTGAGTAGTAATAAGAGTATTCGTGACAGACTTTCTGTTCACATACTTTTATTAGATATAGGATATATTTTCATTGGATAAAAGATACATTTATTTATTTGATTATTGTTTCTGTGTAACTATACAAGCTTATTATTCCCCTCTATTATTTCCTTTCCTATCATTGACCATGATATGTAAAATGGTATCCGCGTACGATACCCGATCACATGATTGAGAGGGATGACGTCATATGAGGAAGTGATCCGGATGTAAACAGAGGCGTGGAACGCATATACTGATCGGGCGTGTACTGAACAAGCGCGCCTTTTTCAAATGACAGAACAGAAGAAGGAAACTATATAAGCAGGAACATTGCACTTTAGGAAGACCTATTGAATCCAGCTGAGGAAGCCGTCGGAGTTACGGTGAAACGCGTTCTGGAAAGAAGTGTACGATATTGTTATGCCCATTTGTTATTTATTTGTTTATTTTATATTTTTCTGCGCTTTGTATTTTGGCGTTTTAATTTACTATAGAGGGTTTTTCTACACCCTTGTAATGTAATAAATTATTTATATACCTTTTAAATTATTATATGGGCTTTTTCTGGTTCCTGCTTTGAAAAGTTCTACATTTTATTCAACGTGCAGAGACAGAGCCGATATAGAGGCTCCATTTTTGTGAGTATACTATATACTTTAAGTAGTAATATTGTATACAGACATTCTACACTATATATCTGTTTTATTTGAGTCCTAGAGATGATCTGAGATAAACACCTGATAAGAAGAAGGGGAAGGTCGCCTGTACGGACCTATACGCACTTATTCCTGAGCTTGGCATTAAGCTCAGAAGAATGTGAGTTTGTTATTATATTTGACTCTCACTATCATTTTAATTTACAGTGTTACACTATTAGAGTTCTCTTTGCTTATTTTAGGTGGACTTTATAAGATATTGGAATTACCCTCATTTGGAAGCTTGACTATTCTATTAGGCTCAACCCTATTATATGTATGTATATAGCGCTACACCGATTTCACATTGTTTTTTCCATTTGTTTAGTGCCTGGAGGTCCTCAGCACCAATTTACCTTAAGTGGTTAAACCATGTACAAATGGTTTAACCCCAAAATGGTCCACACGGCCCTTCTTCCTCAGCCTCAATATTCAATGCGGAAGCCTTTGACTGGGCACTCGTTATAGGTTTAGTAGTGATTACCTTGCTACTCTGACATCATGTATAGGATTATTTTTGGAACAATAAAAGGAAAAACTGTAGACGTGGAGAGCAGAATAGGTGAGAATTATAGAACAAAACTATTATGTTTCAAAAAAACTATATTAAAAATAAAAGATGTGTAAAAAGCAAAAACAAAAAAATAAAACCTGAATTCTAGGTAGCAGGCAGACTCCAAAAGATGCTGATATAGAACATTTGTATCTGCAAATCTGCTGAATGTATTAATTTCTGCAGACAGAATAAAACAGTCATACTGTGAAAAAATGTTACCACCAAATACTTTTTGCCAAAATGTCAATTTAAGAATTGCTTGCAAGTGAATGCCAGAATTTAAATTTTAAACCATAACTAATACCTCTAATTAGGCCAGAAATACATATGTGCTATTATAAAGTATCTAATCACTTTGAGATTTTTGTCCCAGTAAATTTATGATGAAAATATAAGTACACATTTTTAGACATGTGCACGGGAAGAATTTTCGGTGTATCGGTGTTGGGTTTGGCTGAAATTCATTAAACATTTTCATTTGGTTACAGAGTTTTGGTCGAAATGCTGGAGAATAGGGAAAAAAAAAATCAGCACTTTTATAAATGATCCTAGTAATGGGTTTCCTGACTCACTCAAAACAGAAGTGAGTGCTTCTCATAGAAAAGTATTGGATTCATGGTTTCCCTTCCCTTCTATTTCATTTCCCAACCATCTTTCCATGTTATTATGTCACACACTTCTCAATCCTGGCTGCCTGTTTGTGCCATAGCCCTTCACCTTCCTTTGCCGAGAGGCAAAACCCATCTCAATTCTCGTAATATAGGTCTCACTCAGATTATAATATGACATATTGTAGCACTGGGAAGTAAATCCCTACATTGCACAGCAACAAAATTCTGTGTGTCAAACAGATTTTGATAAAGAGAAATATTGACTAAAAACAAAGAGAAAATCTGTTTTGAACACTATTCCTGGAAAAAGCAGCTAGCAGTAATAATCAAAGGTATTGTTCCACATTAACGCAACATCTAGCATATAATAATAGCAGGCAAAGAAAATTCAAACATCTGTCAATCTATTATTTTCAGTTTTAAACACAAACAATAGATATTCTGCTGCTACAGCAACAAAGTCATTCAACCCATCATTGCCCTTCTGCTTATGTCACACAGTTACCTGCAAGGATTAATACAGCCCGCAAAAAAACACGAACAAAAGTGACATTAATTATGACATTTCATTAAAGCATTTGGGTATCCAAAAACAATAGAAATATACATATATGGATAGATTATAGGTAGATATGATCCTTCTTTCATTAGTTGTGGTTAATTGATTCAATTAATTTCTATGAGGAGATGCTGATTCTGTGTTTGACTTGTGCTGGCTCTGCCCCTAATCATCCTCCTCGACAGTCTCAGCCTATCCTATGGGGAAGCATTGTACTTGGCGCAGACCATCACTTCTGATGAGGTCAGCAGGCAGGTCAGGAACAAAGGCAGTAGCTGGAGACTTGAATTCAAGTAAGATTTTACTATATTTAGGGAGGCTAGATGGTAATTTTAACAATATAGGGTCAGGAATACATGTTTATAATGTTCTCACCTGCGAAATTACAGACAGAACCTACACCAATTTGCATATCAAACTGATGCTGTCCAGGACAGTCCTTATTGGAAATGCAACAAATTTCCTCTGCATGAGAGATTTCTCATATAGAGGGAACTTGCCGGAATTTTGGATCTGGATTGCATTTGTGGGCAGGATCAGTCTGATATGTAAATAGTATAAGTTCCATTTGTACAAGAAATACATCTTACCTGTTGTGTCACCCTACCCATCTCCCTCTAGAATGTAAGCTCATTTGAGCAGGGACATCAACACCTTCTGCTCCTGGGCATACAACTCATCTTGTTGCAAAATAATTGTCTGTTAGTCCACCTATTGTACAGCGCTGCAGAATCTTTTAGCACTTTATAAACAAGAATGATGGCACAAATAAGCAAAAACACTTTTGTGACCTTTGCAAGGATTAAAACGAAGGGCACACTGTCAAGTTTGTCTGTAATTTAGCCCGTTCTCAGAGCTCTCATATTGTCTGTTTTTGTTTCAAATAGAAGACAACATTTTATTTTCCTCGATTTTACATTTTATAATAATGTTCACTTTTATAGAAATCACTTTAAAAAAAATAAAATAAAAAAAAAAAAAGGAAAGAAAGAAAAATACCCATTATCATCTTGACCCTTGCGTAATTATGGTGACTGCAGTTAACAATCTATCTCTTCCTTGTAGATATTTAGTTACAAACTAGCAATGGAGAAGAGTAGATGTGATTTAGTTTTATACAAGCAGAAGATCATGAGATTATAAAGCAGAACTAGGAAAGGAAAAAAAGGACTTGCTTCTCTAATCTTGAAAGAGATTTAAAAAAAAAAAAAATATATCAGAGGATTTTAGGCACTTTACAGAAAAGCCATGAAGAAGTGATGCTAGTTAACTAAATATATTTCAGATAGAAAAAGATTTACATAGAAAAAAAAAATTAAAGCAGCTCTATCACCAACCCCCCATCTATAGATGCCTTCTTTAAAGGGATACTATAGTGCCAGAAATACAAAGCTGTATTCCTGGCACTATAGCTTACCTCTGCATCCCTCCCCCATAGCAGGGGGTGACAGAGCCGTTTTAAGTACAACTGCTAAGATACTTTACCAGCTTTAAGAATGCCAAAGCATCATGGAAGCTGCAGTTCAACAATATCTGCTGATCTACCTTTTGTTCACCACAGAATATGTGTATGAGTAAGATAGCACTATAGGGCAAGAATATAAACATGTGTTCCTGACACTATAGTGCTGGAATGCAGAATTATGTCCCTGGTCCCCCATTCTCTGCGGAGGTTAAATAAAATTTTACTCAGCTTTTTTTTTTTCCACACCTTGGCTGGCCTCACATGGCTCAAACTGCGAGGCTGAGATCATTAATTTTGACGATCTCCGTCAATCCAATGCTTTTCCATAGTAAAGTATTGGGAAGCTACTGTGCATGTGCTGCGAAACGCTGTACTGCATCAATTAGCATCTCCACATACAGATGCATTAGCTCAATGCATCTCCATGCAGAGCTTGGAGATGCTGAACACTGCAGAACTGGACTAGGAAGCACCTCTATAGGCCGTCTGACTGACTGCCACTGGCGGTGTAACTAGCCAGCAATATAAATACCGCCTTTCGCTGAAAAGGAAGTATTTACCTTGCTAAAGCTGCAGGGGCATGCTATAGGCATCAGAGTCACTACATTAAGTTGTAGTGGTTCTGGTGACTATAGTGTTCTTTTAAGTGGTTTTGGTGCACAGACCATGTCCCTCTTCTGAAAAATGTCAATGTTTTCATCTTGCCTAAACTACACCTCTAGTGACAGTCAGACTAAAAGCCACCAGAGGTAATACCTCATTGAAGACTTTAATTTACGTTTTCACATGCACAACAACATTCTACCGCTAAATGCTGTGAATGTTTTCTCTATGAGTAGCATCCAACTTCTGGACTGTGGCAATAGGCAAACATAGGTCCACAATGCTAAGAAACACTGG